CCCCCCCCTTCCCCCACCCCCCCCCCCCCCCCCCCCCCTCCCCCCCCCCCCCCCCCCGCCCGCCCCCCCCCCCCCCCCCCCCCCCCCGCCCCCCCCCCCCCCCCCCCCCCCCCCCCCCCCCCCCCCCCCCCCCCCCCCCCAACTATGATTCTAAAAACTGATGAACTTGATTCACATTCGGTCGGCTATCGGGGAATGCGTACAAGTTCTGAGTGCACGTATCCCCCAAAAGCCGAAGGTAGCTGAACGCAAGCTACTCACACGCATTTGTAATTTAAGTAGTGTGTGTGTCAGCTCGCTGTGAGTAATCTAACAACACAATAAATTATCGTTAATTACTTAGCAGTAAACATTTCATTTTTTTCTTTGTTGATATGTTATTTTATTATTATATGTTATTATTTGCCGATATATTGGCCGGGCCACAAAAATATTTGTTGTGGGCCGCGAGTTTGACATCCTTGCTCTAGAGGCTCGGTGGTCATGCCTTCACTGCTCTTCACAATGGCGTTTCTTTGCTTCTCAAATAGGAATCTTTATTTATACCTGGATATAGATAAGGGATTTTGAAACCACAGAGTTATTTTATTACTAAACAATACATGCTCAGTAAAAAGGTCTTTCTTTTCCAGAGACTTTTCCCTGACCTCAACACACTTGCTCCCCAAGCTAGTATTGTGATTTTATAAATTATTTCCTGTGGTTTAAATTTAATATAAATATACTTTGCTATAATTAAAAATAGAAATCACATAGAGTTTTATTTAAATTTAAAATATTTTGTGAATATTATTGGATGAAATATGAATAAAATAAGTATGAATGGGAAATGAATGATCCGCACCAAAGCCAAAAAGACCCAGCCCCCCCCCAATTAAAAAAAAATTTTAATTGCATGTGCCAGTTGAAAAAAAAAACTAAATAACGCTGGACATATACCAGTGAAATTTAGATCCAGGCAGTGTACATTTTGTAGCACAAAAAAGAAACCTCATAGACGAAGATAAATGTATGCAGGGTCTATGCCTGTACCAAAAAGACAAAACATGCTTTGAACAGTGTCACCAAAAAAAAATTTATTCTTTGAAATTAAAAAAAAAAAAAAAAAGCACTGAGTCTTTTTTTTATCCTTATTTTACAGAGTTTTTTAATCCATTTAGCCAAATGTCCTTATTATGTAGATACTTATATTTTAACTGCTATACAAAAATTGCATATTTTTAAATTTTTTCTGATGATTTACTTTGCAAAATAATGTAAAAAAATTATATACAGCATAAAGTCTTTAATCCAGACCTCAAAGCTACAAACTTTCTGCGCATGCGTAAACGCATAATGTGTTTACGCATGCACATATGCATTTACACATGCGCATAATAAGTTTACGCATGCACGTTTAATGTATAACAGACAGTATAAGCTAGGCTAAAATTATCTAATTCAGTTAATGTTGCAGACTGTTGCAGATGTTTTTAGTTTATTCGGCTTATAATTCCTCACTAAATGTAGTGTTTCAACTCGATGTACTCCAACATGATTTAAATCAATTTCCTCGTCATTATAAATATCACGAATACACATCAAATAGTTTTCTGGTGTAATTTTCTAACTTCAACTATGCATAATGTATGCTTTACGCATGCACAAATTGAAAGATATGTTTAATAAAGTAAACAAATAAATATTAAGCTTTTTTTTTGTAAATTTTGATACCCTTTAGATCATATTTGTTCTTTATTTCATAAATTATGGTTTCATATTTTTAATTGTATAATTTTTGCATGCCATCTTACCAGATTTAAATTGATGATCTATAATCCAGAAAAACCCCTAATCTGGAATCGCCGAAGTCCCAGCGAGTCCGGATGAAAGACTTTGTGCTGTGTAATGCAATTCCCACATACATTATTTTAAAATTCAGAAATTTTGTCATTTATTGGAAACGCGCATGGATTTTTTTTTAAATCACAATAATTTATTGGCTGAGGTTATGATAATTTCTTTCAGTCCTTACATACTGTCCCACCTCTCTAATGTCGCTTATGTATGGGTATTAACAGTGGAGTCTTGCGACACTAAGGTATAGGAAAATCATACATGCACCATACAAGGAAAAGAATTATTTCACGAGAACAGTCACAGCATATATAAGTAAACACAAAATAATTTTTACTGTATTCATTCATAAAATTTGATTGTATACTTTAAGGATCTCACAGCACTAAAGTACATACCATGGCATAGTGGTTAAAAATCATTGCTCTAAACTGTTAAAATTGTCATTTTAAAAGATAAATTAATGCCTCAAGTTTGATTTAGCGTTCAATTTATTAAAAGAAATTAATGAACTTGAAGCTAAAATAAAATTGCATAGAATAGCACTATCAATTCTCAATTTCATTCAACCATTTCCTTTGAAAATTAAATAGTCACAAGTTTATAAGACTTATGCAAAAATTTAAAATTTAATATACTATAATAGTAAAATACCATACTTTTTATGCATAATGCAACCTCATCACTGTGTACACTAGAAACAGCATGCTGAAATTTCAAACTGCATACTAATGTGCAATTTTCTTCATTTGCATGAAAATGTGGATACACATTGTGGCAAATATCTACATTACCTACAAAGAAAACATAATAACTAATGAACAGTTATATAAGAATAAATAAGAAATACAGAAAAACATAATGTTAAACTTCTGATACAATTTATTGATTTATAACTCTGTACAGTGAAATTTTCAATAACTGAACTTGAAAGTGTAAAATGCAAGAGTGGGGAGAGAATTATGAAAAAAATGGCAAGAATTAAATAAAGTGTTAAATGTCATCAAAGCTGAGATAAAAATCCTGAAGATATTATCTGAGAAGCAGCAAAAGCTAGAAAAGGAATAAAGGGTATTCAAACTTTCTATGCAGAATTTCTAAGCAAAATACGAGATGTGTGTAAGTACAGACTTCGGTATACGATCCTTTAGAGTCTAAAATAACCCTATCATCATGACATAATAATTTAAGTACTTGCATATTAGCGCAACCACCTTAGCACAGTTTGGTGAATTTTACAGAAACAATGGCTTTTTGTTGTGAAAAAAATTATTTATTACACACATGCATATTTTACATTTCGGCTATGTATTCATTCCAAAAAACAATCAATAAACCTTTTTTTTTTTTTTTTTTTTGTTGTTTGTTCGTTCAGCTGGAAATTTTACGGTGATTGTTTTGAGAAGAGTTTTGAAGCAATTTTACTCCAAAATACTGTATTCCATCAGAAATCGTACCAAATTTTCTTCCAATACAGGCAAATCACAAAGCACATATTTTCAAATAGAGTTTAAAACAAAAAAATAATCATGACTTGGCCATAAAAGCTATTGGAATTTGAAATACAGCAACAACAAAAAATAAATGTATTCCAAAATGACAACACTGGTTGTTAAAAGTGAAGAACTGCTGGGTGCATGGTTACCTGAACTATTTTTATGCATATGGTTGCCAGAGTTTGGTGCATTCTGGAATTCGGACAAATTCTACTCAAGTAATTGAGTACCATAATTTAATTTCATTCTGATGATATAAATTATAGGTACTTGTAAATATCATTGTATCAGAAACAATTGTGATAAATTTTAATCCTATTCATATTAAAATTTTATCAAGTGCCAATGAATATAATCCCTTTTGGAGAAAATTAAATTCCCTGATTTTAATATTGCATCTGTGAAAAAAAATCTGCTCCGCTTGTCATCATGACTTTAATCAATCTAGGAATTAACTACTATTAAACTTTGAGGTAACAGAGTACTTCTGTGAAAGCCACATACAAAAATGGTTTTGTGAAGTTTAAGACCAAAAAATGTGGTAAACTGCTAAACATGGTTTTTCATGTGCTTGAGCACACTGAAATGTTAATACATGCATGAGGTAAATATCATAAAACTGCACAATGACTTACTTACAAATGAAATAAGCTTGATGAGTATCAAGGGAATCTATGGTTCCTATGTATTTTCCTCTCAAGTGTGAAACTACTGCCAAGCAGCACGATTTAGCACGAATTATGGATAAGTGTGATGCTACAACACACTCATAATATCAACACTTTTGTTTGATATAATTCTAATTGATTCTCGATAAGTTATGTTTTGCTTCTACGAACAAGGATAAAAATTAACTGTTATTGATGAGTTTTTCCTTATCATCTTGAAAAGAAAAAAAAAAAAAAAATGATTAAAATTTAGGACCTGCCTTACTATACAATAAGTAACAGATTATTTTCAAAGTTATAAGATTCTATCATTAAAATAATAATAATAATAATAAATAAATGTAGTCAGCAAAACAGTAAATATATTGGAACAATTACCTGCTGGAGGTTGGAACTCAAAAGCTTTTGAAACAGAACTTCTGGTAAAATTCAAGGACCTAACAAAACAGTAGAAATCGATGAAGGCTTTTTTACTAAGCTCAAAAATGAAGCAGATCGAATACTGGTCGTTTAATAAATAAAGAGGCTTCAGTTCCTTCAGAATTCGGCAAGAACAAATGGCGCAACTTTGACAGGATCTTTCCAATTTTCACCGTTTGATGGCAACCAATTTTCACATTCGATAAAATAATACTTAAGTACCAAATTGTATATTTTAGAATTTAAATTGAAATTTTCTATAAATTATACATAATTAATAACTTTCCATGAACAGGTATATTAACTTAAATTCAACCAAATCAACTAATTTATGTAAATCAGTAATTTTTTTATCAATTTAATTTCTGCAGTTTTTAGAAGGACTTCTATCAAACACTTCTGTTACCCAAAATAATATACAGTACAAAGTCTAAAATCCAGACGTCCATTATCCAGAATGATCTAAAATCCAGACGTCAATACCACCAACAAAGTTTTTCTCATGTGCTTTATGCATGTGCATTTGATCCCCCCCTCCTCTGCGTATAATAAAACATCTAGAGAATCTCGATTCTTAATTTCACTTTGACACTAAATAAAATGCCTTGTTATTGAAGAAGCAATAATTTTAGCATAAATTGGTACCATCAGTAATTTGGCTCCATTGCTGCGTATGTGTTTTGGCATACATCTCAAACCGAAATATTCCACATAGATACATCGTTGATCTGATACGAACCTGGTGAAGCATTATTTATTACACTTTCCTTTCATCACCGCATGTTTATCAAAACATGACAACTTGAGTAATGAGCCATACTTCAGAAAATAAGGAGCACGATTGTCAATTGAACTATTTGAGAGTCGATTATTTACATAAGCAGCCGTAAGTACTGCTTCACCCCAAAGGAATTTTGGTAAATTTGCCTAGCTTGTATCATTGCTCAAGTATCATTGCTCTAGCTTTTTCCAGTACAGTTCTATTTGCTCTTTCAGCAACACCATTTAGAAAAGGTATATAGGGAGGTGCGACGGAGTTCTGTTAAATCTTATTGGAATAATAAAGGGTTAGTTACCCTTCCATCCGATGCCTAAACAATTTTTTTATGTTAGTAATTGAATAATAAAGGAGTATGGTAACATTTTATGTTGACGATAAGCATTTTTATCGTTTGGCGATGATTACAGATTTAAGTTAAATGTTGACGAAAAATTTACCAAAAATTTCTTTCATATGTTAAAAGTAGATTTTGTTGATGATACTCATAGACCCAAAGATTACATTTAGGGCTATTTGAATTAAGAATAATTGATTTGTTATTCACGTAAACCCAGAACCAGCGCCAGAGCTCATATGGCCACACTGAGTCGCAGAATTTAGCACCCACAGAGACTGCATTTGGCGGTAAGATATCTGGTGCCAATGCTCAACAAGGCTCAACTATATGTGGAAATTTATTTATTCAGAACTCCGATAAGCCTTAAGCATGTGCAAGAAACAGATATAAGTATAATAAATAACTAATATAATTCAGGCTAATTGTCTCTGCGCAATAGAATCAAGATAAAATTTAACAGAACTTGTCATTAGTCAGCGGGCTCATGATGCATAACCAAATACGTAAAGTGAAGGATAGCTAAATTTGATGATGATAGCCACTAATTTAAAAGGTTTAAAAGGTTAAAACAAAGGTGAAATTTTCCAATTAACAGATTTTATAAAGACATGTGGAGAAGCAATAATAAATGAAGATGATATAAAAAAAAAGTTTTTCATTGTGATGACAATGCTTCACAATCATCAATCAATTAATGAATTTGGTTCTAAATTCAGAAAACACCGCTACCGCTAGTGAAGAAAGTGATAGAGAAGTTACTGAAAACGAGAAAATTTCGATTGACAAGTTAGTCAGAATTCTCAAAACAGCAGTTACAGGACTTCAATAATGTAACTAAACAAGAGATCATGTCTGTCTACAGAATTAAAGAGAAAGTATTAGCACAAAAAACGAAGCAAGTTAAACAACTTACATTGAAAGAAATGTTTAATAAGGTAAACAAATAAATATTAAGGGTTTTTTTTTTTTTTTTTTTTTTTTTTTTTTTTGATTTTTTTTTCGGAGGGGGGTAAATTTTCATACCCTTTAGATCTTAAATACTTCATTATTTAATATTTTTATTTTTATAATTTCTATATATGCCATCTTACTAGATTTGAACTGATGATCTAATATATGGAGGAAAAATCCCAAATCTGGAATCGAAGTCCCGAGGAATCCGGATTTCGGACTTTTTACTGTATATACTGTTACAATTTTTTTTTATTTAGATAGCTAATTTTAGTAGAATTATATTTAAAATTGCTGTATTTCCCCATGCAATGCAGCATGAGACAAATTTTAAGGGACTTCTCTTGTTGGTTTCTAGAAATCTCAAGAAGCAGAAAATGCTAGAACTATCTCGCATGGCCGGTTAAAAACTATTTAAAGCAGAACAATTTGTGCTCAGTTCAGTTGCTTGGTTACTGTTATTGCTATTTAATTCCACGTGAACTCAGATACCTGAATTAGCTTTCTCTTTAGGTAACGCTTTGCATTGCAATGTATTTTAACGTTTTTAGTAGTTTGATTGAAGTATAACTACTGATTATATTGCATGATACTGTGAACACTTGTATGAATATTTCTGAAACGTTCTGATATATTTCTTTTAATAAGAATAAATTTTATTAACCTTTTATCAGACTTGTGCATTCAATATATTATTATGAATTCATATGCATGCATGTAACAATACTTATATGAAACTAGAACATTTTATTATTTACAGAATATTCTAAAAAATTTCAGGATGCTTAGGTGTATTACAGTATTTTATACTGAAAAATATGATACAAAAAGATATCCATAAATCCCTTCCATAAAAATATGCATATTAGTTTAGTACAAACTGATTTTACACTTCTAAATGGATATTTCAAGCATTTAGAATGACAAATACTACAGAAGTATATTTTCTTATATTTTAATTTTTAACAATAATGTAAAAGCTATTTTATCTCCTTGCTATTATGAAAATGAAGGTTTATAAGCATAAGTTTGAAATATGTGAATATCGTTAGCTGAATGTGTTAAATAACTAAAATTGGATTGTGATAACTTTTGCTTCTTGCATTTTATATGATAGAATGATAATGAATATTGAGAAAAATATTAGGATTTTAAATATATTTTTTGTGGTGGCAAAAAAAAAAAGATAATATTAAAGGGTATGACAAAATATGCACTTTACATATATAGCAGTAGTCACCAAAATATAAGGCAGTAAGTTTTGATGAGTCACAGAAGTTAAAATGATTTTAATTACCTGAATAATTGTTATGTGCATGGTTACCAGAGTTTAGAGTACTCTGAAGTTTCGTTGGTTTCTACTAAAATGGTCGTAATAATACAAAAGTACCATTACTTTTTCAAATCAAACAATATTTAAGATAAAAATCAATTAAAACTTATGCAATGGTCATGTCAAAAAACAGTTCATTAATAGATTAAATTATGTGCTGAACTGGATGTTAAAAAAATCTAGCTTTATTAATCTAAGTTAGGAAATAAAAGTTTCAGAAATACATTAGTTTCATATATCAATCTGTGTGATTTCTGGTACAATTCTGCTTTCAGGATCACATGAAGCTGCAGTGAAAATATACGCACAAATGTGCCAAACCTATCAATAGGCACCCATTTTAATCGTAAATTGCACTTAAATTTAGGTTTCTCTTAAATGTGCATGAATTCAGACTGCATAAATTTAGATGATTGTAAATTTTCAAGTCACCATGAAATACGGATATAATTTTTTAATAATGCTATGGATCTAATAATTTATTAATTGCCCAAGGACAAAAAGCTACAACAGAATTTTTCAAAGAAAATGCATCATTCATGATAGAAAATTTTCTCAAAGAATCATGAGATAAAATTATACTTTATCAATAACTCAAGAGCAAAATGGTACTGCAGGGATAAATCTTGTAATGAGAAAAAATAATAAAAAAAAATTGGTTCAAAGGATTAAAAATCACCTTCCATACAAAACTAGATTTGTAAGGGAAGATTACAACATGAGATTCATCTATTTTTTTTGTGCGACATCTATAGAATTTTGTGGTTGATCTATAGATTATGGTAACTTGGCGATTTTTTGGCAAAAATTTGGCGACCAACTCTCCTACAGCAACCCTCTATTTTTTTTTCCCGCCGCCATTTTGTCTTCACGAAGTAAAGACATGTTTCTTTTCTTTTTATCTACTGAACACTTCTTCCAACAATCTACTAGTCGAATTACACTTATGCTAGAAATTTTATCTAACAAAACTGCTTAATCATGACAAATATTCACTGCAAAATTGGGAAAAAGTGCACAATAGCAAACCCCTTGCGCATTTTTCAAAATAACACATACACGTAGACTTATTTTTACTTAAAAAAACATCCCAGAATTGCACAAAAATGGCATTGCGCACACTCTTCACTATATCCATGTACACTGCTTTTTTCTCATAAATTAGAAAAATTTCACGAAAATACATGACAATTTTTGAATCTTTAAACCCGGTAAAAAGAACATATATGAAATTACCTGATTGCGAAAACGTATATACCCTTTCTAAATATGAACATTTCCACCTATAAAATAAATAAAATATCCAAAAACTTTTACCTCTAAATTATCTATTATATTATAAACGTCACCAACAAATTCATACCGCAAACATTAAAAATACTTAGTGTCAAATATTTAAATTATTTCCATGCATGTTTACTTCAACTAAAACGTATACCAAATTCCTACAAACATAAAATTCACAAAATAACTATCATTTAATTAAAATATAACTAAACCATGTACACGTCGACTTATTTTTACTTATAAAAACATCCCAGAATTGCACAAAAATGGCATTGCGCACACTCTTCACTATATCCATGTACACCGCTTTTTTCTCATAAATTAAAAATATTTTACGAAAATGCATGACAATTTTCTAAATCTTTAAACCCGGTAAAAAGAACATATATGAAATTACCTGATCGTGATATACCCTGATTACCTGATATACCCTTTCCAAATATGAATATTTCACCGTATAAAATAAATAAAACATCCAAAAACTTTTACCTCTACATTATCTATTATATTATAAACGTCACCAACTAATTCATACCGCAAACATTACAAATGGTTACAAATACTTAGTGTCAAATATTTAAATTATTTCCATGCACATTTACTTCCACTCTAATGTATACCAAATTCCTACAAACATATAATTCACAAAATAACTATCATTTAATTAAAATATAATTAAATTCAAAAACACTACTTAAAATATAAAAATCATTGCTAATAACAATTTTCCAATAATACCATATTATTTTATTTACTCCTTACATTTAGAACAATGCATAAAAATAATATCCTCAAATAATTAAAAATACTAACTTACCTAATCTTCTTCAGAATCTTGATTACGTGTCCAATAAACTTTTCTTATTTCTGTTTCAGGATCTTTAAAATCATACTTATAGTTCATAGCAAGGTACCAGGTAAAATAAATAACTTAATAAAACATCTTTACTTCTATCTCGCACAACCTTAAAGAAACACTTATTACTAACCCTTTCAATCCCATTAAATACCCATTTCGAATTCACTTTAGTTAGGGCCATGGGATCCAAAAATTAACGAACACTGTTTCACACAACACAGAATAAAGCTAAATACAAAATTTCCAGATTTTTTCCCGATTTCCTCCTTTTCCGATTAAAGAACTGTAATTCGTCCATTAATATCACATGACATACCCCATGATCTCTCATTTCCCTCACACAAAATAATGCGTAATCGGAACTGAGTACTGCTCACATTATTACCAAAGTCCCAGGTAGTAACCTTTATCGCCTCCAAAATGTCGCCAAACTACCAGTTACCATATTCTAAAGATCAGCCAATTTTGTGAACTTCAACTGAAGATGAACCACAATACAACTACAGACTGGAACAGTTACATGCATGAGGTACATGCCACTCATTGAATTACTCAACTAATAATGACAATCACATGTGAAAAAATTATTGTAGTAGAAAAAAAATCTCTTTCACTCAAAGCGAGAACAGCATCAGGTATGGTCTTCGGCCACAGTGGGGTTTCAATGAACGCTGCATGGAATCAAATAAATATTCTTTTGGCTGCTGTTCCAAATTGAACAGCAAAAACTTTATTTTATGTCATAAAGGAAAAGAATGAAATTTTGTTTATACTCATTGCTGAAAAGCATGCAAGTCAGATGAACTGCTAGATGCTGGTTTTGATACTTATTTATAATTATGGTTTTGGTACTTTTTTATAAATACCATATTTACTCACATAACAGTCGCACTTTTTTTGCCAATTTTTCATTGTGAGTCTTAACACGACTATTATGTGGGGAAATCTAGCACACAATATTGTACACTTTTGGTGATTTTTTCCGCTTCAAAACAGGGGTGGGACTATAATGCGAGGGCAACTACTACACTAAACACAGTGTATATATATATTTATAACTAGGTATTACAATTTTTTTAATTCTTTCATTGCATCGTTTCTTTGTGTTGATTTCAGAATAATTTGTGCTACATATTTTCCTCTGAAGGATTATTACTGAAATGAATAAATTTGCTGATAAAAAATCAGATATTATATTACACTTTACAAAAATCATCCAATATAGTGAAATTAATTAAAAGAGAATATAAAAAAATATTTAATAATTAGGAAAACTATTACTTCCTTATTAAAGTGGCCACTGTGATTAATCACAAGAACTAGCAACCTTAATAGTTTGGTGTTTTACGTGCATATTTCTAAATATCACCGTGCATATTTCTAAATATCACCACAGCAAAGACTTTTGTGATGTCCATTTTAATAATGAAGCACAGAAAAATTCATCTTCATTCAACACTTTTTTCAATTATGAAGAAAAGGATCACTCTTCAGAATGCATTCAATTTATTTTTTTATTGATTATTCAGTTTTATCAATTATAAATTATTATTATTTATTCAGATTTAACAATGAATAAAATAGATCAGTAAAAACTGATTAAAATTTACAGTTATTCGAACTGAAAGCAATATATTGCTTCTACAATTGACTAGCTCACTATTAATAAGGAAATAGCAATGTGGGGAGGATTCCAGCTTTTTTAATGATGAGGTAAAAACTAAGCATGCTTTTATGTAATACAACAAAAGGAAGAAATGACGGCATTTTTTATAGGTTTTGCTATTTAACTTAGAATAATTCTACATAGTTTTGATACCTTTAGCATTCAGAATAAAAAGTCTATTCATGTAATTCTAAAATTTAAACAACAAAAACCTTGCATACCTTAATTTCATGTGCATATGTAATAGGCATTCTTTGGAAGTTTATAATGTTCGCCCAGCGTAAGTAATACTAGATATGAAAAATTAAATTTTACTGCTGGGTTGATTAATTTAAACAGAATGTTAAGAAAACTATTATATGAAGGGGAAAAGTATATCTTCTACAAGGGCATTTCATTGGCTATATAATTATTCACTTCTTAAAAGTAAACGTATAGAAACAATGCATACGCATTTTAATCCCTGTAAAACACTGCTTAACATTAACAAACTAATAAAGCTATAAAGAACGAAAATTTGACAGTGTGAAAAAATATAAATTATTTTGAAAACTGAAAATATCGCAGTTGCTCATATTGAATGATTTTAAACGGATTATGCACTTATTACCTTATGTTAGGGAAAAAAGGGAGGGGAGGTAAAGAAAAAAAGAAAGGGGGAAAAATACTGATATTTTTACGTAGTCTTCTCAAAAAGACAAAAGATTACCTTGAACAAAAAGTAATGTTGATAGTATAAATACTGAGAAAAGAAACACTTTATCAGGCAGTAAAAATTTTCGCACCATAAATGCAAATAATTTGGGTAAACTTATAATTAAGAACATTTTGAATTTATGAAAAGTTGTGAAGTTAATAAAATATCGCGAAACTGTTTATTTACAATTGTCTAGGTGTTTGTCTGATGCCATAGACTGTAAATTAAATTATCAAGAGAAATTTCAAATCATGTTGCAAACATATTTATTTAATTTAAAAATAAATAATTAAAAAACTGAAAAGGACTCCTATTTTTTATTATTATATTTTTATGTTGGAAGTAACTGCAGAATTTTTCAAAAAGAGGACGTACTGTTATTTGCTATTCTTAGAATGAAACTATTGGCAATTGTAATGAAGGATACGTTCCAAATTCTTCTGCAATGTTGAATAATGAATCTGAGTTCTGTTAGCTGTTAATAAGTTAGCTGTTGATCAGTTCTAGCTTTTGACATCGCGGCCTTATTTACAAATTAATCATTCTCAATATTCCAGATCATTTTATTCGCTTAATAGCCTCTTTTCTCAGCAACAGAACATTCAGAATCAAAATTGGTAATGCTTACTCAACCACCAGAGTAATCAAAACTGGTGTCCCACAGGGGTCGGCACTTTCTCAGTATCTTTTTAGTATTTATACGCAAGACATCCCTAAAGACCCTCCTGTTCATCTTGCACTCTTTGCCGATGACACCGTCATACTTTTAGTAAGATGAATATTATGCGAGCGCGGAGTTAGCCGATATGCATTTGACATATGGGGCTGCAAATAGTAGTGGGCCAGCCGACAAGCGCTTATAAGCGGAACCATAGCCTGTGAGGCGTACACCTAGCCATAATTTCTTTGTAAGGTTAGCTGAAGCAAGTTACTTTCAAAGAGCTGCCATGAATCGGGCACGATCAACACGGACTCCATACATCAAAGAGAATGTGCTACACATCAGGTACAATGCACTCCAGGTTTGAGTACGCGAAGTGTAGCGCACGCAGTCGGATTTCCCATTCCAGCATCTGGAGAATTCTCAGAGAAAACGAAAACGAAATGCATGCGTATCACATGCAGAGTATCCAGGCACCTGAACCGCATAATTATGCACCTCGTATTACTTTTGCGCAATGGCATCTTCAGAAGCGAGCTACAGATCCCCATTTTCCTTCTTACGTGCCATTCACCGATGAGGTATGCTTCCCAAAGGAAGGAATATACAACGCAGATAACGCCTATCTCTGGGCGGTAGAGAACCTCATGCAACAAGATATCGTGTCGCGCAGTCATTTTCGGTTAATGTTAAGACCGGCATTGTGGGGGATCACCTCATCGGACCTTACCCGTTGCCTTTTCGTTTAACTGATTGTTCGTTTAACTTGATCTTTCTGCAACAAGTTATGCTACAACGTTTAGATGACGAACAGATTTCGGCATCGATGTGACCTCATTGATTGATTACCGGACTATCTTGTCTTAATTTCCTTTTATGGGGGCATATAAAGACACTAGTTTATGACACCCCCCGTTGAAAATGCCGAGGATCTGGTTGCACGAATCGCACAAGCTGCCGAGGAAATTCAATTCGAGATATGCCTGGAATATTTCAGAATATTCGGAATTCTATGCGCCGTATATGTCAAAGGTGCATAAATGTTGTTGGACGAAACTTCGAACAATATCTTTGAGCCATGTTACTTTCGTTCATGTAAATTAATTAAAACGAATATTAATTTACCTGGCGTATTTTAATTTTAATGTTTCTGTGTACACTAGCGCAGCAGGAAACCATTTCCGAACTACTATATGTTTCCGAATGACCGGGGTGCAACCCACCCCAGCTAGAAGCTCTGAAAGGTAGTACTGAGACACCCTGTATAAGGCCGGAGATAGCATTTGCTCTCAGTTGTTAGCTGTTAGGTGAGCGTGAGTTCGTAGTACTGAGATATCCCCGGGTAGCTTTTTCTGCGCTTTGCATTGCGTTGTGTTTAGTGTTCGTGCTAGTTTGAAAGGGTAACTATTGATTGTACTCTGTGATATTTTGAAGAGTTAGACGACTATCTTTGTGGAAAGTTCCAGAATTCTGACGCTTCTTTTGATAAAATAAATCGCATCAACATATCTGCGGAGCTGTGTAAATTCAATCTGTTACGAACTTGTACGCTCGAAACACTTTTTGGTGTCAGAAAGGGGACTGAATACCGGTGAAATGAGCGATGGATGAGCAACTAAGACAGCTCATCACTACCTTTGCGACATTCCAAGATAAGATGGAAACTGGTCAAGAATCCATAAGTGTAATTGGAAGCATAGTCGGTGAGATTCGGGAGGTCCGCCGTTCGAGTCACGGAGACGGCATTATTCATTTTCCACACCTCCAGGGGAAAAAAAAATTGACTCTACACACATGAACTTTTTTTACTTCAGCCTTTTTAGGATTGATTTCAGTTGCAGGATAAGATGGCCCTTATACGGTACGTTTGGATTTCACTAACGTTAATGCTAACGCCCCTTCATTTGAGTAGCTGAAGCACAACGATCTGGTGGTGCTAAAGGTGATATTGTTTGATCTAACCCCTAAATATGAATGGAACAGCATTAATATAAAATATATTTTATTTCACCCACAGAAATGAGATTTGTACTGGGAGCATTGTATAGCAGTCTTTCTCCTCTCAACGGCACAAGCTAAAAGTGGCTCCGAGGCAAAGAACCTCTAAGGAGAGGCGACAGAGAAGCTGTGACGTAAAATATAACACATGATATGCACCTCTTGCTGACTGGCTGACGAGGCGCATCTCTCGTTCGTATGAATGTCATGCTACAGTGTATGTACCCAGTAACGAAGACACGATTACAAATTGTAATGAATATTTACAATATATAAAGAAAATGATATAATGATAAAGTAGTGAAATATAGAAAATGAAGTAGTATAATGTAATAAAAATGTACTATACATGGTTATAGATGCAGTAGTAACATATGCGCAAAACTAAACGTTAAATAAGCACAAGTTTAAGAAAAAGTAACAGGCCGAACAATTGACTACTAAATTTTCTAAATTAATGGTACAGTCAAAAGTCGTTAATTCGGACACCCATAATCCGAAATGATTTATAAACTGGACATCAAAGCTACAAACTTTCTGCGCACGCATGCGCGTAAGACCTTTACGGCTGCGCATATGCGTGTCGCATAATACGTTTACGCATGCGCGTTTAATATATAACGGACGGTATAAGCTAAAATTATCTAATTCAGTTAATGTTGCAGATTGCGTTGTTCCTTAATCTTCGAATTGGATCCGGCTTATTATTTTTTGCAGACTGTTAGAGCAATTTTATAAAAGTAAGCTTGAACTTTCGATTATGTCAAATAGAATTTCCGATGCTGGAGCTCCCAAAGGATCTACAAAGCGAAAGTATGTTTCGATGTCTATCAAAAAAAAAAAAGTGGAATTGCTGCAAAAAATGGATAAAGGCATATTCCTTTGTTTCTCTAACCATTCCGAAATCTGTTTATCAATTTCACGCTGCTCTGCGGCGGGGGGGGGGGGACGTCGCGGCGCGCAATGAATTGGAAGTTGATCTGTCAGCACTATCCTTATCTTCAGGGCAGATGTTTTTATTTTATTTGGCTTATAATTCCTTACTAAATGTAGTATTTCATCTCGATGTACTCCGTCTTTGATATGATTTAAATCAAATTCCTCGTCATTATAATTCGCTTCCGATAGTGAAGAAAGTGACACAGAGGTTATTGAAAACGAAAAAAATTTCGATTGACAAATTAGTCGGTATTCTCGAGGACTTGAACAGCGGAACTTTGTAACTGAACAAGAAATTATGTCTGTTTATAGAATTAAAGAGAATGTATTACCACATAAAACGAAGCAACTTAAACAACTTACATTGAAAGAAATGTTTAATAAAGTATACAAATAAATATTAAGATTTTTTTTTTGTAAATTTTGATACCCTTTAGATCATAATTGTTCTTTATTTCATAAATTACGGTTTCATATTTTTATTTCTATAATTTCTGCATGCCATCTTACCAGATTTAAACTGATGATCTATAATCCGGAATAACCGAAGGTCCCGACGAGTCCGGATTAAAGACTTTTGACTATACAAGTTTGTACTCAAGGAATATAGTCTGACTAAATGCTTGGGAAATCGGACCTTATGCCCACTTTTACTGGTGAATATTTGATTAAAGCACCATAGGGAGGTAGCTGAAACTGGAAGAGATAAAGAGGGGCTATGCGTAACGTCATCTGGTAGGTGGTAAGCGATCAATTGAAACTGTAGTAGTTTTCCGCTTACATCAAGGATAACGTTTTTATCATTTCTGTGAACGACTGAATGAAGTCCAGTATAAGGTGGTGACAATGGAGGATTAACTTTATCAGATCTTAAAAATATATGAGAACAAATTTTTAATAAGGAGTTGATGATTGAATTACCGTGTAGGGCTGTAGAAATAGGATTTAAATAACTCATTGTCTGCAATAAACTGTTTACATATGCGGAATTTAAGGTCTGGTTTATGGACATCACCGGTTACTAGATTAGAAGGTAATCTTAATGTTGTGCCATAAACAAGTTGAGCTGAATTTACTGAGTGTATGCCTAAGAGGGCAAGAGAAGAATTTCTGTCCATTGTGCTGTATTATGTGCTTTGAGGGCTGTTTTAAGATGCCGATGGAAGCATTGAATAATTCCGCTTGACCGAGGGTGATATACAGAGGTTCGAATCCGGTTGCACCCAAGAACCGAACTTTGTGGATGTATTTAAATTTTTCACCTCATTATAGATATATAACAAGAAAATTGAGACTAGCACCTAAGATAGCTATAAAGATCCCTCCTCCAATGGTCAGACGAATATCGTTCTGTCGATTTTATTGATTTTCTGACAATTCTATAACCATCATTAAATCGATATAGCACATCTGAGGAGCCAAAATTTTACAAAACCGTTATTTAAATCAGAAAATGTAAAGACTTTTTTAGCAATTTGAATTAATTAACAAAAAATACAAAGTCCTATGCAATTAGAGAACAGGCTAAAAAGCTTTTAAAGAAAAGCTGAAAAAAAAAGTTTCATTAAAGA